TTTTGCAGATACTGCCCAGGGCTTGGGATGTGTACATCTGAGCACCAAAGCCCATTCAGCACAAGATCCTCCACCCCACCCCCCACCCCCCACCCCCCACCCCCCAGGCTATGAGTAGGTCTCCTTAAACTCCCACGAAGCTGGACTGCCTTACTTAGCTTCCAATGTAGACTATAAACTCCCTGGAGGCAAGAACCACTCACACAGTTTCCAGTAAATGCATGCATGTCATGTCGGTTATCAGTTGATGGGTTGATCAGATTAAAAACAATTGGAAGAACAAAAGACTGTTCCCCTTAAAATCTATAGGCGTTCTCCAAAATAAGCCTAGCCTCTCCGCCGTTCCCTACATCCCAGGAGATCCCCTCCTTCACGAACGGGGTTGGGCAGCCCAGCACCGCACAAGCCCCACAAGAAAACCAGGTCAGTCCAGGCTGCAGTAAGTAGTAAGCTGTGTCAATTTGGGACGTTTTTGCCAAGACGGGCCCTGTGACATTGCAGGTGGTGGAGAGCGGCAGGGCGTACAGAGAAAACTGCAGCAAAGCAGAGATGGAGACTTAGTCCCACATTAGTATAAAACCGATCTGAAGCGTTACTGAGGAATAAACCGACTAGTGTAAGCGGCAAAGACAAAATGAGTTCCACCACTTCGAGTAATCCGTCTGATTTCCACAAACATCTCAGTCATGCATTGTGTGTGTGTGTGGTTTTTTAAATTTATTTTACTGCACCATTGAACATCTTTCACTGTTACAGGCATGCATGTGTATATATTACTGGGGGATTTCCCATGCAATTAGTAATGAGTTATTTAAACTTTATATCTTAAAGTTTTAATAGTTCCCACAAATGTGACAATTACACTTTGGCAAAATCACCTGTGAGGACAGAAGGAAGACTTGAAGCAACAGAACTCCGTAATACTGTAACATTAACTTCAGACCTCCCGGAAGGGGTCGCTCTCCCTCCCAGAATCACCATCCTTCCTGGATGATTCCCGCTAGAATTCACAGTGGGTTCATCATCGCTGGCCTGGCTTTGTACCATGAGGAGACAGTTGATCCATCCAGCCATATTCAAGAAAGTTCCATGTAAACAAAAATGTCCAGAATAAAACGCCTGAAAAGAGAAGCTCCCGAAGGTGACACATCCATATTAGCTAATCTCCAAATTCATAAAAACATTTGGATTACATACAATGAGGATTAGGGTCTGAGGCAATTTCCATTTGAGCAGCTACTTTCCTGATTCAATACCTTCATTCCTACCTGCAGAGACTCAGGTGCAAATACACTCAGAAGTACAAATAGGTAACAACTTAGCAGACGAAAGGCAAAGCTAGAGAACAGGCATGCTCAGTCTAAATTCCAAAACCCAAATCAGGTCGCGTTTCCTCATTTTATTTTCTAACACAGTCCTTTTTTGCAGTCTTTAATTGCAAGAGTGTAAAGATATATTTAAAAGCAGGAAATGTACCTTGCCCTCCAGGAAAAAAAATGTGATATGAGTTGGCAAAGGATTAATAGCTAACCACAGACAATACAGAATTTTTTTTTAGCATCTGAACTCGTCCTTAGCACCAAGCTAAGCTGCTTGTCTGGAACCAATAGGAGAAACATCATCAAGTTTAAAACTGGTGATGAATTAAACACCTTAGTCCCAAGAATCAATCATACTGGTATTTTCTGGTCTCATTTTGTAGGGAGTTCATCAAACTGAGGACATTCATGAGTTGAAGGGGTCATGACAGAACAGTGAGAACAAATGCTTTTTTTCTTCATCTCATTCACTGTTGTATTGACTGATCTGCATAATCAGATTTGGAAAGGCTTTCTTCCCCCCAAATTATATCTTTTCTTTAAATGTCTGAAGTTCCTATGTAGAGTTGACTGTCATTTTGATGAACAGTTTGATCTCTCCTTGAAAAATATTTTTTTTGAAGAGTGAATTCTGCAGAACTGATTCTATTAAAATGATTACAGAGCTCTGGAGGGACTTCCATCAACAGTAATTCTCAACTACCCTTAGGTTAACTCAGTGGCTCAGGACTAGAGACCAATTTGCCTGCAGAGGATTGTGGCGATGTCTGGGGACATTTTTTGTTGTCACGATTCGTGGGTGTGCATCTAAGTGGGCAGAGGCCAGGGATGCTGTGCAACATCGTACCATGCACAGGACAGCCCCCCACAGCAAGGAATTGAAAATGTCACTAATGCTGAGAAAGCATAACAGAAATTCTTACTACTTACAGGGCAGCTGCCTTATAATCCCAAATCCACCTCAGTGATTCCTTTGATCTTGAAAGCACTCTTTTCTACTGAATTTTGGCATTCCTGATTTATCTCCCGCTAGAGTTTGGCCAGCTGGTGGCAAAAAGCAAAAGAAAGTAACCAATATAGAGAATATTTTTAATTCTTCCTCAAACAATGTCTCCCTATTTTATTGATGCTTTATCAATAATTAGAGGGATCATACACTTTTTTTTTCCTGTCCACAATGGAGCCTGGTAGTCCTAATGGATATTCATAATGGCCAAATGTCATGAAAACAATTCATCTCTATTTTCAAAAACCAATGTTGACATTTGGAAGATGAAAGCAGACACAGCACATCCCAGAGCCGGTGCTGAAATAATGGGGAAAGGACTCTTTCTATGGAGATAGAAGGACAGAGGACAGAAGCAAGCGCCATCCCGTGTGTCCTCCAGGTTAGCGTGCAGGATGGCTGGTCCTGGCCTGACACAGGGAGGATGCTCTAAACTTTTAAAAAATTATTTTCATTTCCTTAAAAAAAGAGAAAGATTTCTGGAACTGACCTAAGCACACAGGAACACTAAAGTAAAACGATAGCATTTTTCTAATCTCAGAGGAAAACAGTATTGGTAAAACCACTGTTCATCAGAACTACTACCACCAGGCAAGGTTGGCTCAAAGAGGAAAAGAAAAGTCCCGCCTCTTCTTGGGAGAATTAAAATACAGAACAACTAAAGGGAGAGTAAAACCCAAGTAAAAATCCCAGACTGCAGGCATCACAGTGCCGGAGATGACTAAGGAAACCACCTAGCCCCATGCAAAAATATTGCACTTAATCAGCTTGTTTGAAAACATTAAACACATTCAAACTGTCTTAAAAGGGATTATTTCACATGAACTCTATGTGAATAAGTGTCCATCAAGTTACTTTTCTGAGGTAAATTTAGATATATCGGAATTAAGTGCCTTTTCCTTAGAGAACATTATCTGGATATAAACTAGTGCACATTTCCTTAGCCAACTGCATAGAAACTATAAAATTCTAATCTTTTAATAAAAGCAGAACGATGTGAAATCAAATTAGACCTTCAAATCTGGAAGTGAGGGACAGATTTCTTCTTTGGTTCAAGACATCTCAACCAACATTTGTCTAGAATTTCATCCACTCATCACGGTGGTGAGCTTCAAAGAGAACCCCCTGGATTTTTTTGAGTACATGCCGTACTTTTAGTATTAAAAATGAAAGTGTTGTCTTATTTTTACCCCTCTTTTGGCTGTAGAGACTAGTCCAGTAAACTCCTAGGGGTAAAAATGCATTTACCTAATTCATGGCCAATTTAAACTCAGATCATAAATTTTGAAGGAATGAATGAAAAAAATTCCTATCCTACTGATCACACCGCTTACTTATTTCAGCCTTAGAATGAACACTAAGACATTTTTTTTTTTTTAAGCTGGTATTAGTGCTGAAAAATGCAGGGGCTTTTTCCATTACCAACCCAGCATTTCTGTTGACTCCCATGCAGATTCTAAACAGAACTCTGTGCCTGGAGCCTAACAGATGACCATTGTCAGTCAATTTTACAACCCATCAGGGAAGACTCTAGTTCTCTATGAGGGCATCTCCACTTTCTCAGACCTATTTTGAGACTGTTCTGATTAAAATACTACTGCCTAAACAATGTGTTCAATATAGGACAGAGGCTTCTTCAATACTAATGTAAGTCGATTATGGATCCAAATCAGAGTCTAATAAATTTATTTGAAATTGGTAATATGGGTCAGAGCCAGAAAAGGAAATAAAGAAAATCATAAGTTCCTCAAAACACATTAAAAGGCAGCAATTAAATTAATTCTCATTTTTCCCTACACGTACGCTTTACCGTCAAGTTACTAGTTGGCGACTACAATAAATATTTTAAAATATGTCTAGTGAAAGAAAAGTCAATCTAGCTTGTTTTTTTGGCAGGAATGAATACTCAGTGTCATATATTCTTCTATCTCAGGAATACCCATGTTCTCCTGGCAAAGGTTACACATATCAGTGTGATCATATAAAAAAAACCCCAAAGGAAATTTGGACAAATAAGTCATTAAGCAATAAATGAGAACAGTCCCCAACTGGACTGATTCTGCAAGACAACATTTAAGTATTGTGTCATACCTTAGGAAGTGGAAATATTCCCATACTTCCAAGTGAAAAAAAAAGTATTTTATGCATTAAACATCTGGAGCACCCTACAGCTGTCGTTCATTTCACAGCGGAAAGTAAACATTAGTTTTGTCTCTACCTCACAAAATGAAGAGGTGGTCAGAAAGCCTTTTCTTCCTGTCTTCCCCCAATGAACTCCACGCCCTCTCATGTTCTGAGAATATTTTCTACTCCCATAGGCGTTCACTTTACATTTATTCAAAAATGAGTCAAAGAAAAAAATTTCCACAGTGACAGGACTATCCAACGGTCCTTTTTTGTGATCTTCGAGTGGAATGAAAAAAAAAAAAGAGAGAGCTATCATGATTCTTAAGCTTTTTCGATGTACTTAGCTACGAGCTCACCTGAGAGTCAGTTACACGTTCCAATCACTTTAAAATAGGAACTACTTTGAATCCCGCGTCCACAGAGTCCCAGCCTTCAGCGTCCCTGACACGTATGCGAGCGCAGTTTGCTTCTCAAAATAAATGCGCAAACGGAAACGATGAGTTTGTGGAAAAGCAGCATGAGATACCCAGGACAATGTAAAGGGCTTCTCGGTCACACAGAAATTAACAGACACATGCAATTAACATCCCAGACAACCAGCCACTTGTTGAACACGGAGCGAGCACACCGCCAGTTTGATCAGTGTCTACAGCCCACAGAGGTCCTTCCACAAGCCAGAGCGCCTCATCTACGCAGTCTGTTCATGTGGGGACCAGATTAAAAATGTGTGCTGTTGACATAATGTTGGTCCTCCTGAGTTTTGCTAAGAGCTTGTCCGTGGTCACTCAGGCAGCTGTCCAAAGATACTTCAATAGCCACTTGTGTTGCTTCCTGCCTACCGAAGCTATCACTTGGGTAGGTGTCTAGGGGGGGACAGCCGTTGTGCTCCGCACAGCCGTTGACGTGGGCCAGAGGCAGGGCCCCCGGGGGGCAGCACAGCTGCTTCTCACAGCCCTTGGAGATGCAGGGTGAGCTGCAGAGCAACAGCGAGTCCTTCGGCTCCACGGGGTCCTTCAAGTCCACCTGCTCAAACTGGATGGTCACATTGTGGATTCCCACACTGTGGAAGATTTCTCGAATTTTCCTACTGGCGTCCTGATAGCCCCTGTCCCTCTGATACTTGATGTGCAGGGTGGCGATGATCTTTCCGCTTATAAGTTCCCAGATGTGCACTTCATGTACACTGCTAATCCCGGGCACGGCGGAGAGTTTACTCACTACGAGAAGGAAGAGCAGACAATTAGCGAAGGCTCCTGGAAACAAGGTCCCATTACGGGAGGGACATGGTCCCTGAAGGCATTCTCACCAAAACGGTGTATTAACAATGGGAAGAAAAAGAGCTCTATCTGCATGGGTACATTTCCCCATAATCTTCTTTCTCCTCTCTGCGTCCCTGTGCCACCCATCAGGAACCCATAAAAGGCAACTGAAGAAAATAAGTTCGACAACACCCAAAAGAATTCCCAAGGTTCAAGGGAATGGACACCCAAACGGGCTGTGTTGGGAGCATAAAGTAGGATGCCTTTTTGAAAGGGGAGAACTTGGCAATATGGACCGAAAACTTTTACCAACATCTCTAGTACTAGGAATTTAACCTACAGGGAAATACCCTAACATTCATGTACAAAAATGGTTTGGGCAATGTTCTTTGTATTAATGAAAAAAAATAGAAACAAGGAAATAGTTAAATCAATTATATAAAAGAATATGATAACAGCCATTAACAAGTAAGTTGCACTTTTAAAGATATGAGGAAAAGTATATAAGATATCTTTACGTGAAAAAGCAAATAGTTATACTGTATAAACGGCACTTTTTTCTTTCTTTTTTTTAAACAAACATCAGTGTATATCCCCACACAAAAATTTTATGTAGTTTAAAGCTTGTTTCATTGAATGACTGACTCAAAAATATTAAAAGTGGTAATTTCTGGGTGGCAGGATCATGAGAGATTTCTATTTTTTTATTTAAATCTTCTATACTTTCTCAAATGAGCATGTATTTAGAGAGATGATGTTGAATAGTGATTCTGAGCAAAGACCCTGTAAGCCAGCCAGAGTCTGAATCCCAGTTTAGACATGGCCTTGGGTAATTTAGCTAGCCCCCAGTGCCTCAGTTTCCTTATCTGTAAATCGGGAATAATAACGAGAGTACCCTGTAGGTTTACTTGTAGGATTAAAATGAGTGAATATAAGTAAAGCGCTTAGAACATTACTAGCATATAATAAGTGTCATAGAAGTGTTGCTACTGTTATTACCATCTATTTTTAAACGTTTTTAAATATATATATATACACACAACTTTGTTAAAAGGCAATATAAGCCATTATATATCACAAATCGTTTTGATATGTTTATCTTGTTTCTTCAACTGGAAAACAAGCTCCTGGAAGGTAGAGACCATGCTGCCTATCTGCTCCTGGGTATCTCCTTCCCCAACCCCCCACCTCCTCTGCCTGCAGCACTGGGCAGATAGTAGATTGCAGGAAATGAAGGCTGATTGTTTTAACTCTGTACAGCAAAGCAGCCAGAGAGTTGACCATGCCTAACTGACTCTGAGACTGTAAACGAAGCAATGCTGCCCAAGAGGAGGCTCCAAAGGGTGAAAAGAACATCCAGGGGGAAAGACTAGGAGAAGCACCAGCTGTTAGCAATGGCTCGACCAGCTGGTCCCAATGCATGCTACTAAACAGAGGGCTGGCAGGGCTATGACCTACCCTGACCACCGCAAATCACACCCTCACAGGGGAAAGCCTAGCCATGGACATACAATGTATTAAGACCCATTCAAACCTCATTTCAGGGATCTGTCATGAAGTAAGATCTTCCGACTTTGAGCCTCATAGTGGGTCGGGCTCTATCTCATGGTGACTGGCTCACTGGTGAAGCAATGATAGTATAACAGCAAATATGCAAGAAAATTCTTCTTCTATAAAAACATAATCTCCATTTAGAAACACTAGAAATAAAGTTGCACAGTTTCTCACCAACATCTGGATAGTTCCCACCTAGAAACTCTGCAAAGTCTCTAAACTATGTATGCTCAGATGCATATAACTAAGGTGAGAGTTTGACCTTCTGTTTGAGCACAGCAAAGAGACAGGTTTCATTACTGAAGGAGGTCATGAATGACCTGAATTTAAAAAGGGGTCCTTTTTATGGTGTTATAAGAGACAAGGTGACTTTCGTGCCCATAAAAAATCAATTAGCTAGAAAGCAGGATCCAGAACACGAATGAATGATTCCTATTTTCCGAATAAGGAGAATAAAAATCAAGTCCTTGGCAGGGTAACCTTATTGGAATTAAAACAAAGCCTTGACGTGAATGTAAGAGCCGAGGCATAGGTCTTGCCCAACACTATACTCTCAAAAATTTCCAGGTGAGTCAGAGAGTCATGGGTTGCAAAGGACCTTTGGTTCTTGGAGCTGTGAGTCATCTTCCTAGGCTACCAAACATATGATAGATGTCTCTATTGCCAGGTGATTTAAAGTACTTCAGGAGACATAAATCAAACACTGTTCTGAAATAACGCCGGCCCTTTGGCCGGAGGAGCATTAAGCGGGCATGGTTCTAGATAAGCATCATGTGACTTACTCAGCTCTTCCATGTTAACTCCTCTGGGGACCATCTGCAGCAGAATGGCAGCAGTCTCCTTGATGAGTGGGAAGGCAGATGACAAAATGATGATGACCATGACGATAGTCAGGCTGGGGTCGATGTAGCACTGCCAGTTACACGGGTCCTCATGTTGCAGGGGACGCATGTAGAATATGATGGCCGTGACCACCACGACCACCGATCCCAGGGCATCGCCCATCACATGCAAAAGTACACCTGCCAGGAAGAAAGAAAGACCGCTAAGGCACAGATTCAAATTCGGGAGCTGCGTGACGCTCAGTGACCCGGGTTCCCAAGTCTGAGACCAGTTGCTATTTGTTTTCCTTTTGGTTAAAACAGCAGGATGGATGCGAATGAAAAAAATTAAAAAGTCCGCTACTTTGCAGAAAACAAAACCCTAGGCCACCATCCCAGGACCCAGCAACAGCCTAGGAAGATTCTGAGCTACAGACGCCAGTGGGAAGAGGGACTGTATCTGCCCATGGTGCCTCACCACCGCGGCCTGCCACTCATCAGAAGGCACCAAACTGGAAAACAGAGGCTGTGCAAATGGTTTCTTACTCTTTCAAACAAGTATCTGTGACTTAAATGGTTTTAAACATTTTTAAGAGGAGAAGGAACTAAAACATATCAAGAGGGTGGTTCTTGGGGCACCTGGGTGGCTCAGTCCATTAAGCGTCCGCCTTCGGCTCAGGTCATGATCCCAGGGTCCTGGAATCAAGCCCCGCATCGGGCTCCCTGCTCCATGGGAAGCCTGCTTCTCCCTCTCCCTCTGCCTGCCGCTCACCCTGCTTGTGCTCTCTCTGTCTCTGTCAAACAAATAAACAAAATCTTTAAAAAAAGAAAAAAAAGAGAGAGAGTTGTTCTTGTTATTCCTTGTCTTTCCTCTTCCTTGATCCATTTCCCCCCTTCCCTACGTGTCTTTGCCTACTCCTCACTTAGTCCGGGACATTCAAACTGGTTCGAGAGGTCATTAAGAAGGGACTCCAGCAACACTGCCACTGAATAAAGAGCCATTTGTCACAGTAAAATAAAATTAAAATTAAAGAGATAATAACAAACATCGTGGTTGCCTTTAACAAGGGACTCAACCTTAAAGGTTTTGATTATGATACAGAAAATATGCAATCCTAACACAGAAGATCTGGGTGTCCAGTTGTATGCGAGACATAGATTAAACTGGGATTTAGGTGAAAATCTTGTCAGAAGGATTATAAAAATATAAACACCAGGTAATTTTTTTTTTTTTTTTTGCAGAAAACATCAGACGCTTGCTATTCAGAGTATGGTATGCCGACTAGCAGCATCAGCATCCCCCAGAAGCTGGTGAGAAATGCAGAATCAGGCCCCACCTCAGATCTATGGAATCCGATTCTGCATTTTTAATAAGATCACCAGGGGATTAAAACTCAAATAAAACTCCCAGAGCACTGCTCTAGAAGAAAGCATACAGATTAAGAAAGATTCATTTTGTCTCTCCAAGTATCCCACAGATCCATTCAGTTGAATTAATAATAATCTAAAATCCTAATAACTCACTTGTGGCTACAACCAAACAGTCTCACTTGGAAGATGCTTTAATTGGGCTAATGCTGCTTTTTAGCAATACTTTTAGGGTTCTGAGTAGCTGAGTAGCATCAGAGGGAAAATAGCATTCTGTAAACATACTAAATGCAATTTGTGGCAACCTCGCCCCTCGCCCCAAAATAATACAGGAATAAAAAATATCTCCACATTTCCTTCTGGCTGAGTGGTTAGGTATTAGAACAGAATTCTGGTTCAATAAATACATTAAACAATTCCATCTTCTAATTCTGTGCCCCCTTTCCCCCACCCTACCCACAAAAGAGCTTTTTTACTCCCCAGTCCCTGTCCTGAGCCACAAAGAGAAAATCCCAAGAGTAGGTCTATATACCTTGTTCCTCCAGGGAAACCTGAAGATCAAAGCCTGAACCTTCCCCAGGGCAGTACAAAGTGATACTATAAAAATATGAAGACCAAGTATTTCCTATCTGCGCTTGACATCATTTTCACTGCCTGAGACAGTTGTCATCCTCTGTTTCCTGCATGACAGCCTCGTTTCCTCCATTAGACACAAAGTGACATGAGGATGAGGGTCGTGCTCTGCATTTCTTGTGTTTATATTTTGGCACTAGAAGCATACAATGGGGGCATCAATGAAACAGTATTTTCTGGTTGGTCGGTCATAACTCCCATGACATAGAATAACTTCTGCCTTTTACTTAATAATAATAATTGTATTGCCAGTTAACATATATGCATCAGACATTGTTGTATGTTCCATGTATTTACATATTAAGTCCTTCGAAGGACTCTCTGAAGTGGTTACTCTCTCCGTTCTACAAATGAGGAAACTGAGGCATGGAGTAGCTGAGTAACTTATCCAAGATCACACAACTAGAAAGTGCCCAAGTAGGGGTATAAATCTGGCGTAGTCTAACTAGAGAACCACTGTGCATCCTTCCTCACAGAAGTCCTAGATTCCCATTTCAGGTTTTCCTCCTAAGAAATCTCACTATTAGCCCCTCACAATTATACAAAATAGCTTTCAAACTTGTTTTTCCCATAACCCACAGTTAGAATCCTGTTCTGCCTCCTAGCACACACAGAGACACGCATTGAAACAAGCATGAAAAAACAAAGCCTGTCCCAACATATGATTTATTACTGCTTTCTATTCTATTTTGTTCAATTCTGGTTCATTTTCTAAATGCTGATCATATTCTACTAAATTGATTTTGTGACCCAAACTATCATGGATTTCAGTTTGAAAAACTGCTTAAAGCATGATTTCCTTAAATTCTTGAGACTGGATATTAGAGTGTGTTTTCTGGCCTCCTGTGCGAAGATGAAGAAGGCCTGGTCATTATCCTCCAGGGACCACAGTCCATTGGCAGGATTCTCGGAGAAGTGCACCAGGAACCTCGGGGTGGGGGGCGGTGAGTCCCTGTGATGGGACACCTCAAGGATGGCATCTTGAGAGATGGGGCAGTTGGGCAGGACTCTGAAGGGGGAGAGACCTCAACCGGCAGCAGAGTTCCAGGCAGAGAGAACTCAGAGAGAAAGTGTTCCAGGTAGGGAGCTCCAGGGAGGCTGCAGATGAGGACGTGCCTGACAGGCAGCGGGGTGCCCTCAGAATGAAGTCACAGACCCTGACAGTTTCTGTGAGCCATGGACCTTGCCAAAGTCAACCTCTGTGAGTCACAGGATTCTCCTCTGTGCAGTGGGGATGAGAACAGCATCTGTCTCACTTCTCTCAGAGACTAGTTCTGAAGAGTCTGTTGAAACGATGTCTGAAAGCCCACTGAGATGAAGTGCCCAGAACTGATGGAGACAATGGTAATGAGCGCGATTCGTTGAGTGTGTCCTCTGTGCTATTCCAACCACTCATGCAACACTCACAACCGCACAGTGCTGTTGTTGTGATCTCCATTATCCCGATAAGGAGACTGAAGCTCAAAGAGGTTAAGTTACTTGCCCAAGGTCACCCAGCTAGTAAAAGGCAAAGGTTGACCTTGAACCAGATCTGCCTGACTGAGCACTGGTCACCTCACTGTAACTGTGCATTAGATGGGGATGGGGGGGGGCAGGAGAGACAGTTCAGGTCTAGGAGAGGAGGTGGGGCAGCAAAGGGGTGAAGAACAGGGCAGAAATGTCTAGAAAGGACTACTGGCACTGGAACAGCAAGCCTTTGAATGTCAGCAGTGTTAGGACTTTATTCTGGAAGCAGCAAAGATTTCTGAGCAGATTCTGACGGGATCACATCTGTGATTCAGAAAGATAAGTCAGGCAGCATTATCTGAGAGACGAAGATCGACACTTGGTAGACAGCTCAATTATCTGTTCACAAGGTAGCTTTGCAATGACAGGACACCTCAACAGTTGGCTCTCACTCCCTGTCTTGAGATTTTTTTAAAAAACTCAGAAAAACTGGCAATTTGACATAAGTTGGAATTTAATGTGTCCCAGGCCTTAAAAAAGCCATCAGTGTTGTTGAATGTGTTGATAACCAGAAACACAGTGCATTAGCCCTGGGCATTAATAAGTGGTTATGGAAGGAGGAGTTCTTTCTTACCGGAAAAAAACAATTACAAAAAAAAATCTCATCAAAGAAGACTTATTTTCAAATGATGTCAGGATTGCACTTTATCTATTTATATTTATACTGAAATACAAAAAGTTAATTATCTTTCTGACACTCTGTTGCAACCGTTTTTAATGTATCACATTTGATCCTATTAAAAAAAATCAACAACTAAAATTGACAAGAATTTATAAAGGTTTGTGGTTTCACTGTGCTTTGCAGAAGATGGACTGTGTTTCTCAGAAGGCATTTGTTTTTTTTCCACTGAAATAAGAGAAACACTAATGAAAATCCAGAAATGATTTTTGTTCACAAGAATCCCCGCCAGTCATTTGCTCCCCTGCAAATCTGGGGGGACAATCCTGTTTTCTCAAGCAGTGGCTTAAAGGTCAAAAGTGTAACCACTCAGTGGACTGTCTACACTGGAGAAGCAAGCCATCCTGCGTGGAGTGCACAGGCAATGTGCAAGACTGGGAAGAGGTGGAAATGAGAAGTAGGAGCCCAGGATCCCAGCCCCACCTCAGCTGCCAGCCTGGGTGACTTGGGAAGTCACCAAACTCATGGGACCCTGTTTCCTTATCTGCAAATCGAGGGGGTGGAGTCCATTCCCACTAAGGCCTTTCTACGCCTTCTCTGAATCATGGCTCCAAGATGAGGACACACGACCTAAGGGGAGGCCAGCCTCCCACTTGGCCTGAAAGATGGAGAGGCTCCTGGGAGCCACGGCAGGGCCCGGAGCGCTTACCCTCACCTAGGCAGCAGGGTTGAGCCCAGCAATTCCACTCACTACCTGAGAGTCAACAGCTTCCACCTGATGAGATTCTTACAAATGCAAGTGACTCATGCCTGCATGGTGTCTGGCACAAAGCATGCAGTCCATCAACAGGCTTTTCCTTCCACATCGCCCAAGCACTTTACATGTTTTATCGAACAGCCACCCCCTCAAGTAGATACTATTTAAAAGATGAGGGAATTGGAAGCTTAGAGAAGTCCAAAAACTTGGCCAAAGTCAGAGTCTTAAACAGCAGAGCCAAGACCCCAAACCCAGGCATCTTGAGCCCAAATCTCAATCTTTCAGCCACTGCATTATTCACCTCTGGTGGAAGCTACAGGTGCACGCTGGTCAGTACCTGTGGAGCACAGGGCTGAGCCAGGTAAAGCAAGGCTTTACCGAGGGCATTTTTCCAACTAGGAGCTCCAACGACTTTAGACTAAAGATCGGCCAGATCATACAAGTTTCATGATCATGCGGCAAGTTTCATATATCATGCTTCCCAAACAAGGTCACAATATCTACTGGTCCCACTCTTAAGTCCTCTCAGCATCTTTTCACCTACCTGTTCTCCTCCTCTGCAGCATGAGAATGGATAATTAAGGGAATGTGCTTTGCAAAATTAAAGTGCTATGGAAAATCTATGATATATATATAATATATATAGTATTTGATATCTAAAATATATATAGTATATATTATATTTTAAACTGAACCCAAAGAGAAAGGATAGTGACTTTTCATTACAGATTCTCTCTTTCCAAAAAAGATTCGCCACCAAGCACTTTAGAAATCCCCCTGTTGCCGTTCAATTTTTAAAAATTGACTCATGTAGAAATTCTTAGGAGCTCATGTATGGTTGTTGTTATTGTCGGGTTTTTTTTTTTCTGATTTTCCCTACAGATCCATTCCGGGTATCACTTTGTAAAACAGATGGGAGACTCTGAAAAATGAAAGCGTCTCCCAGATGACTACTTTTTCTTTACGTTATTTCCATTTAAGCCCTACCACAGGCTTTCCCCCAAATCATCTGGAAGTAAAGGGTTAAATAATCTTTGTTGAAATCCACCAAAGTCTCTGCCCAAGAAGTTGGAAGAGAGAGATGTTGGATACAATGTCGGTATCTGGTGAGAAATGCACCTCCGAACTCCCTGGGGCTAACCTTTGCCCAGCGCCTGTGACCCTGAGCACAAGGCAGGGAGAATGCTAATGACGTGCCTCCCACGTGCCTCACCAGAACCCTCCGCTTTGGGCCTGGAAGTAGAGATTCAAGGAAGCCAAGAGACCCATCCCAGACACAGATTTCTGGCAGAAATAAGTGAGGCGTGAGGGTCAGTCAGCAATGCCACGTTGGATGCAGGCACCTGCTCTCTTCTCACTTTGATCAAAATTACATTCAAATAAAATCGGCCTCATTTTACGTTAGCAATACCCACGACTGGACAAGATCAAGTAAAGTAATAGCATGCTACTGATCTGTGAGGCTCTGGAACAGGCAGCATTAGCCTGGATCTAAGTGGAGCAAAGATAAATCATTAGCAACTAGTGTGTCAGTCAGAATCAATGCAGGGATTAGGCAAGAGACTAGGGTCATAGTCTATTCGTGCAACCGGCCTACTTTCTAACACACTTTATTAAAAGGCAAACAGAAACGAAGAGTACAGCACAGTCCGTATGTATTACAGACAAGGGTTTCAAATTGACCCGGAGCCAATCTTACCTCTGATATTCAGGGCTTCAGACTTCTTCTCCTTTTTCATAGTCTCTTCTGGTTCATTCTGGGTGTTCAGAGAATCACCTGCATTCAAAGAAGAAATCTTGTGTTGTGTATAAGTTCTACAAACAAAAAGAACCAATGGACTCAAAAAAAGGTTTTGTTATTTTAAACTTCTACTAGCTCATCAGACCCCCTACCTCTCCACACACACAGCCCAGAATAGTACATTCAAGTTTAGAAAAAAAAAAAAAGAGGCAAGTGGGAGCCCACCCCCACCCCCAAACCCATAACTCCCAAGGCGACAGAAGGATGGGCAAAGGGGAAGGGAGAAAACAAAGTGCAGACAGCATCTGATAAAGGGGCAACGGTTGGGGGGTGCTGTTGCCCAATAATAACTGATTTTTAAGAAAAGCAATACTCTGAAGCAGACAGAATAAGGGGAAAGAGGCAAAAAAAAAGGGGGGGGGGAGGGCCTGAGGATCCAGGAGAAAACAAAAGAAACTGTGGGGAATGCCATAAGTTAGCAGCGGAGAATTAAAGCCGGGCTGCAGAGGACACGGATTTTTTACAACATAGAATCAGCCGCAGCAACAGCCAGAAAGAAAAAGAGGGCGTGGATGCGGAGGAAGAGACCGGCGGGAGGAGGGAAAGGCAGAGAGGTCCAGAGGATGCAACCGAAAGGCACCTGCTACGTTGGAGAACACGGTCGCCCCCTGCTCCTCCTTGCTTTCCGCCGCGGCCACGCCGCGGGTGGCGGCGGACGGCCGGCGGGGGCCCGCGATCGCGCGCGGGGAGCGGCCCTCGGCCGGCGGCTGGGGCTGCTCGCGCGGCGGCGGCGGCGGCGGCGGCGGCGGCGGGCGGCCGCGGCGGGGGCCGCAGCAGGAGAGCCAGGCGGCGCAGTCCTGGAAGATGAGCAGCCCCAGCACGTTGACGGCCAGCCCCAGCGCGCCGACGATGAGCACCAGCTCCGGGTCGTCGATGCGCTCGGGCCGCGCCAGGCGCAGCACGGCCTCCACGGTGATGGTGAAGCAGAGCGCCGTGAGGAAAACGGCGTTGCTCAGCGCGCCCAGCACCTCGGCGCGCGCGTAGCCGTAGGTGGCCCCCAGGCCCTCGCGGGGCCGCCGCGCCACGTAGCCGGCGCCCAGCCCCACGCACAGCGAGATCAGGTCGGACAGCATGTTGAAGGAGTCGGACAGCAGCGCGATGGAGTTGCCCAGGTAGCCCGAGACCAGCTCGGCCACGAAGAAGGCGACGGTGAGCACCAGCATGAAGAGCAGCCGGCACGTCTTGCCGGAGTAGCGGCCCATGTCGCCGAGCCGCCGCCGGTGGGGGCGCCCCTGCGCGGCCGAGCCCCGAGCCCTCCTCCGGCCTCGCTGCGGGGCCCTGCGCCCGCTTCTTATACGGCGTAGGCAGAGCGCCCCCGGTCCCCGCACGTCCAGAGTCTAAGGGAGTGGCCGCGGCGGCAGTCTCTGAGGGCCCTCAGGCCGCCTCCGAGGCCCTTTCCCCCGGTCCCGGGTCCCGGCCCCACTTGGCAGGTGGCCACGGGCCAATGTCTGCCTTCTAGGACAGCACTGGGCAGAGGGGGAGCTGCTGGGGACAGGGGGCGTGTCTGGAGCGCCGTCCTCCCAGACACCCTGAGGCATTGGCGGGGGGGGGGGGGGGGGGGTTCACCTGCCGATCCAGACCCCGCTTCCCGGGTCTCTCCCCTCCCCGTGCCCTGACTGTTGACTCCTGGCGGTAAGGACCTTGACTGTCGTGGGGCGTGTTCGCCGCGGTGGACGTGGACACCTTCACGTACGGGCCCGGACGCTGCTGGCACTGCAGATTCCACGTTAGCCCGGGGAGGCCCCGGCCAACCCTGCCCAACCTTCAGGGGGCTTCCTGCCTTGCATTTCGTGAGCTTGGAGCTGAGCCCCCTCGCTCGGCATGCCCGCTCCACCGGCGCGCGCCCTCTAGCTATTATATCGGCCCTCCTTGCGCGTAGCCTTCGCGCCAAGAGCGCATTCTCGTTTCCGTCACCCGCCTCACGGCACGACATGGTCCCTTGTTCCCCATTCTCCCCTCCCAGCGCCTCCCTCCCCAGGTGAGCTGCAGGCAGCCCTGGAAGAGAGCACAGATCATACTTTTTTGGAAGCATGGCCCTCCCACCCAGCGCTCAGAAATCAGTTTCCCCGGGGAGGGGGAGTCGACACAAGTCGCTTGACCGCCAAAGAAGTCAGGGCAAGGCCTCCTCTGGGTCATCTCATTTTTCCATGGCACAGAATATTCCCTTCACCCCCATGTGTCCCTCACAGCATGACCTGATACTCAAAGTTCAATCGACTGACCTCCATGAAGGTTTACTCCAAATAAAGCCTTTCCTGTTGACGACAGTCTCTGTTCCAATTAAAAGTTATCCAAAAGAGAACTGTCCCCAGGACTCTGGGAGAGGCCGCCCACCAGAATCCTTGAAGAAGGAAGGGTGTTTGCTGTTGGGTGTTTAGGGAAAGGGGTGGGAGAGCCCCTGCAATTTTCTTCCTTGGTTTCTTTCTGTTTTGTATTCTTTCCTCATTCCCAAAAAAGGATCCGACTGTGAAGTCTGGTGATCTCTATTCCCCCTCTCCTGTCCCTAACCCCTGAACTTTAACCATTCCTGAAACACATGTGGTTTGGGCTTGGAAATAACTGTGTCCACTAGTAGCACACTCTGATTCTCGCCTCATTCATTGTCTTACCCTTAGGAACCACAATCTGGTCTTTCAGCGCTAAGGGACCCTAACAAGCATGCTAAAATGTCCTTGACCTGAAGTTCCCACCTTACACAAGATGAGCATCCAAACTCAAGAAGCCCACTGAACCTTCCCTCCCCGGCTCCAAGAAAATATCCCTACACTGAGAGCTTGAGGAAACTGATCATTTAAAGTATCTCTAGGGCGCCTGGGTGGCTCAGTCGGTTAAGTGGCTGCCCCCCAGGCCCTCGCGGGGCCGCCGCGCCACGTA